AGATGAAAAAAAAAAATAAAATAAAATAAAATAAAATAAAAGACAAAAAAAAAGGAAAGAAATTGTAAATTCAGTTGAAGAACGAAATAGGAAATCCAAAATCGAAAGAACAGGGGCACTAAGAGGATCAATGTTCGTTCCTGAAATGGAACTTCTAACGTAAGATAGAACTTGTGTTGAGTACGTGAGTGCAGGCTGTATGTATGCTAAGTCGGTGTGTATATAGATATAGATATATATATATATACATATACATACACACACATATATATATATATATATATATATATATATATGCATGCACAGGAGGGTTGTGTCGGAGAGTCGCCAGCCGTTCTTGAGAACGGCGAAACGGTATGATATAATTGGACCGGTTGTATTATCCAAACGAAAAACGTTAGGTCTTTGGTGTGGCTCGCGGAACTATTAGTAACTTCTCCGACTTTCTGCTCCCTCATCCTCTCTCTCTCTCTCTCTCTCTTGTTCTCATACCAAGAAGATTCAACTAGCTAGTAAGTAGTTAGTGCTATTCATGAAGCAGTTTCTTTACTCACGCCGGTGGTTCCTGTTTCTACTTGAAGAAAAACCTGCTACGTGAATCGTTTGCATAGGAAAAAGGAAACATTTCTCTTACGGTGGTATAAACCATAACTTATGCGAGAGGATGAGATTACGAAATGTGCGTTAGATCTAATCATTCGACTTAGTTATTTATAACAACGACGATTAGCATAAATTATTCCGCATAATTCATTATATCTCTCTCAAATTCATTTCATTTATCATTCTTGTTTTTTTTTTTTCCTTGTTTTTTCTCTTTTCTTTTTTTTTTCTCTTTTTTTTTAATTATTTTTTTGTTCTCACAGTAAAGTTATTTAAACGTCGAGTTGATCGTCCTTTCGGAGATGTTATAAAGTAAATGGAAAAATTTTTCTAAATTTACCATAGAAACGATTCTATTTTTTTTCTATTTTTTTTTTTTTTTTTTTTTTTTTAAGGACGATTTCTATTTTTCTCTTGTTATTTTTTTTCCCTCCTTCTTTTCTATTTTTCTCTTTCTTTTTTTTTCTTCTTTTCTTTTTTTCTTCCTTCGGAAACATTAATTTTACTTCGGACCTGTCCAAGCAACTCAACGAAATAATTACTTTGATGAGTTTTAATCGACTGTACATTTGGATATTTCGATTGATCGAACTTAAGCCATATGGACATAATAAAGGCATAACAAACGCTCTCCCTGTCTCCCTACGCAGTGTAGTATAATTGCCTAAGCGACAGGAATTTATTGCCCACTAAAACCGTGAAAATATGCAAATTATTTAACAAAGGTCAGGATTCTCGCGAATGTCGACGCGTTTGAAAGAGAGAGAGAGAGACCAGTTCGTTCTTATGAGCGAAACCATGAATCAAACGACGCGGCATATCGATTTTTGTTGTAACGATTACGCTATTAACTTTTCCCGAATGTCACTGTTAACTTTTTCTCGCCCGTTTGTTTTCACATATACGATATTACGAATTTAATCGAATTTACAAATCGTACGCGACTCCAATAGAACGTTCCTTTTTATTTTCCTTGAGTTAAAAAAAAAAAAAAAAAAAAAAGAAAAAAAAAAGATCTATAGATCACTTTCCAAGTTGAAAATTCTCGCGTAAAAATTTTCATTCGATCATTTGATGTCGTCAAAAAATTGATAAAACGATTGAAAGGGACAATGTGGAATATAGTGTTTGCGAATAACCATGTACAATCAAGGGGAGAAAATATTTCAGATAAAAGAATATCACCGTCCAACGTTCGTCGACCAGTAGAAACTTTATCGTATGTATATACGTATATGTAGATATATAACAGGAAAATAACATCGATTGGAAAGAAATCGATATTTCTACTCTTGCTCCTTTCAAACAACCTTATGAATAAGGTATAACAGGAAGAGGTAAAGAATCTCGATTGAATATCTGGTTCCTTTAAAATATATCGAACGTTTGCGTTATCGTTTATCATATTGAAATTCGAAAAATTTACGCGGGACATCTGACAACAAGGAATGAAATATTTTTAAACATATATATATATATATATATATATATATATATAATATAATATATAAATAATAATGTATAAATTCCTAGAAAATCTTAGCATATTTCAGATATCGATTTGAAAATTATCTATAAACAAATAAAATTGGAAATCAAGTTATGCCATAAAGAAATCGGGAGGATTAATTAAATGTCCAAAGAAAATTTTATATGATCGAGTTCGATGATAAATTGAATGGAAAGGAACAGCGATTTTCTTTTTTTGTTTTCGATATAAAAAAGCTTTGCAAGTCCACCTGCTCAAGCTCGTTACTCGACGTTCGCTCATCCATTCGTATATAAGAGAACGGGACGAACACTATACATACACACATATGTATATATATATATATATATTTATATATACGCATAGAAGCGTACGTGTATGGAGTTGACGATAGGAAGCAAGTGGCGGCACTTTCTTGCAGCGTACGAAGTGAACGGGCAAAGATAATAGCGCTGCCATCTATTGGGAGCTGCGTACACTAGACGCAGTACTTTTGAGAAAGACTTTGTATGTGATATATATGTTCGTAATACAGATATATATATATATGTATGTATGTATGTATGTATGTATACACATTGTAGCAAGCTTGCGCGCGCACATCTCTTTCCTTCTCTCACTCGCTCTTCTGTTCCTCTCTCTTTCTCTTTCTACGCATACTATTAACTCGAGTAGCGATAACTCGCTTTATCGGGTCGCCGTGTGTACGACTTTGCAGGTAGGAGCGATCTAGCCGATAAATAAGAATTGTGTACAAGGTAGATGTGTATATATATATATATATATATATACAGAGAGAGAGAGAGAGAGAGAGAGAGAGAGAGAGAGAGAAAGAGAAATAGAGAGAAAAAGTGAGAGAAATAGAAAGAGAGAGAGAGAGGAAAGAGTAGAGAAAATCATAAAATAAACTAGAAATTCTATGAAAATAAAATAAAATATAAGATATGAAAAAGAAAGAAAAATGGACAAGAGAAAAACGAAAAGAAAAAGCGGATGGCATAAGTTTCATAAGTAGGATAGTGAATCGTTTTTAGGAGAAATATGGTTAGAAGTAGGGAGCAAAGGATAAGAGGGGAGGATGACACGGGGCCTTGGAACAGATCAGCTGATCGGAGGCGCGCGCCTGAGTTTTACGAGTTACGGCCGCCAATAAAGTTGGAGCCGCGGCTCGCACGTTGCAGGCTCGAACAGGAGAGAAAAAGAGAGAGAGAGAAAAAAAGAAAGAGAGAGAGAGAGAGAGAGAGAGAGAGAGAGAGACGGAAAAGGTGTCAGAGTCGATGCTTACCTGGGGGTGGATAGGGACTAGAGGTGACGGGCTCGGGTGCCCCATAGTTCCTTAGTCCGCCATAACCATCGTGAGGGAAGGTTCCTTCCGCGGCGACCATCGCGGCTGCAACTCTGCCCCGATCGTCGGCCGCGGAGGGTGTTAAATATGGAACAGTCGGTTGCGAGTGCGGATGATGATGAGCAGCTGTGTCAACTGGATGATGATGCCTCGCGGTAGTGTAAGGCGCGTAATTACACCAGCTTTGACCAAAGCTACTCTGATGACAAGATGATACCGTAGGATCGGGTGGTCCTGTAGCCGCTGCCGTAACCGAGGAGGTACCACCTGCTGCACCGCTGGATGATCCGCTTACAGTAGCAGCCCCAGCAGAATTATAAGGCTTATAATCAGGTGTGGTGGCTGCTGAGGCCACGGTCGCGGTTGCAGGCGACCAAAAGGTCACCGTAGATCCGGTTTTCCGGTTGTCCCTCGAGGAACCGGACGTCGAGGTCGGATCGGCCGCCAGATTGTAATACGTCGGGGGGTTGTTAGCCCCGTATGTTTGATGATGATTCAACGATTCGCTCGCCGCGGAGGAGTAATGAGAGTCCTGCGGATGATGAGGACTATAACTCCAACCGCCTTGCGAGCCTGCCGAGGACGAGTGCGAGTGTCGTATCACGCCCGATGCCGCGGCCCCAGCCGCACCAACAGATGATGCCTCGACACAGGTTACTTCCCCGTAACTCGAGCCGGCTCCGCTTGCACCACCTGGGGTAGCCGTTAGTCTTTTTGCTGGTATATGGAGCGGTCCCGTCGCGCTGTTGCTCGCGACCGAGGAGGCGCTCGGTGAGGTCGAACTGGCGCTCGCTGAAGGTGCCGATGGTGCGGTCGTGCCTGATGATGCTGGGACACCTGGAGAGGTCGGTGTCGTTGCTTGTTGTTGGGGTTGTTGCTGTTGCTGATGGGAACCTCCAGTTGAATTCTGTTGCTGCTGTTGTTGTTGTTGTTGCTGTTGTTGTTGTTGTAACGATACGAGGGTTGAAGCTGCAGGTTGTACCGGCGGTGGACTGTCGTCGTAGAGGGAACCGTTCATCATGGTCCACCAGGTCACCCCGGTGGAATGCCCCGCTCCGGTAGCTGTCCCCATCGGCGTGACGGAGCCAGGGTGGCCCACGCCGGAGCCGCACAGCGGCGCGGCGTGTACATTGTCGTACAGCGTAGCCGTTGAGCAAGCCACGTGATCGGTGATGGTGCAGATGGTGCCGGTTTATTGCCGATGTTATAACGCCGATGTCGAGGGACGACGGCGAAACCGTGGCACCCACGCCGACGAGCGATCGCAGAGGATGTCAGGTGGTGGTGGTGGTGGAGGTGGAGGAGAAGGAGGAGGAGGAGGAGGAGAAGGTGGAGGAGGAGGTGAACGTGATAGAGAGAAGATCGGGTTGCGGGGTAAGGGGATAAAAGGGGGTGGGGGGAAGGAAGAAGCTCGAAAGAACCGATCGACCGGGTGGCGTTCAGCGAGAAGCGAGGCGGCACGTCATCGAGGAGCGGACGCGCGCGACAAAGTGCGAGGATCAGCACCGAGGGTTCGCCGCCGCCGGTGGTGCGAGCATAGCAAGGCGGACCGAGAGTAAATAAAGAGCGCGCGTACCGATCGTAAGGAACCACGAGTAAGGAGGGGAGGGCGATGGGTCGGATGGGGGCAGGGAGAAAGGGGTCGGTGGAACGAGTCAGTGATAGGAGAAGGAGCGGGTTGCGGGAGGGACGGAAGAACGGCCGGAGGACGAAGGCGCGATAAATTATACGAGCCAAGTCGTCGCGTCGTCGCGTCGGCCGTTAAACGACGATGAGCGTAACGTCGTCGAGCGGGTCGACAATGGCGGGTGACAGGAGCCACGTGCAGACCAGGTCGTTGGTACAGGTGTCCACCAGAATGTCCAAATTCGGGATACACGTTCCAAGTATCGTTGCCGTGTCCGAATCCACGATGGTCCAGGAGAGAGAGATAGAGATATATATATATAGAGGAGAGGAAAAAAAAAACAACGACACAGCACGATTTAATAAAACTAGATAATATCTGACGTCTTTCTTTTCGCTTGGGATTGTTCGTTCGGGTTTTAACGAGTCTCTATTATCGAGGATAATTCCTCGAGTGTTTTCACTTGGCAATCGCTGTATCGTTTCACTGCGTAAAGAACGTCACCGCGGACGTTCCGCGAGCGGCGGGAATATACCGGCCGCGTGTCGTCCCTCTTTTTCCTTCCTTAATGACGGAACCTGTCAGCACTGTCGTCGTCGTCGTTGTCGTCTTCAACACCCTCATAACTATAGTCTCTGTCCTTTTCCCGAAGGAACGTCACTCGGAACACAGTGCGCACTACCCGTCACCAAGGGAGAGAGGGAGAAAGAGAGAGGGAGAGAGAGAGAGAGAGAGAGAGGGAGAGAGAAATAGAAAGAGTATGTGTGTGAGAGAGAAAGAGTGAGAGAGAGAGAGAGAGAAAGAGTGAGAAAGATACGATATATATATATATATATATATATATGTGTATATATATATGTGCATATATATATGTATATAGACACACATATATATCAATCATATAGAGATACACAGGAAAGTAAACGGGCAAGAAATAGCGTGTATGAAAGTGTGAGAGAAAAACATGTATTCAAAGAGAAAGAGGACGTTCTTGATCGGCCCGACCGAGGCTCTTCGAGAGGGAAAAAAGTTTCTTTTCCCTTTCGCGCTCCCGAATCCAGGTAGTATCCCAACAAGAGATTATTGCAACACAGGCTTTTATTTTCCCACGTAGAAAAGCAAAACCATTCGAAGATATATGTATACGTGCAGCGGTCTCCTTCAAATGGCAAACGTAGCGGGATCTACCTTCATCGAGTTTTTTTTTTTTTTCCGAAAAGACGACACATACACGATCACGCATACGCACACATGGCAAGACCCCCTTTCTTCTCGTTGCCCTCGCTGAGCCGAGTCAAGCGTCAACTGAGAGCTCTGTCCACTGCTCTGAGCCGAACGGACTGGAAGGCGACACTCGCGCTATCTTGTGGAACGTTTCAATACTAGAGTTACGCTGTCGAACGTATTCCCTCCCTCCTCTACTCCCACTGCTGTTCCCCCTCTACCAGCGAAAACTCGTATGCTCTAATCTGCTCTCTCTTTCTCTCTTTCTCTCTCTCTCTCTCTCGCTCTCTCTCTCTTTCTCTCGTTTCTACCTCCCACTCTTTCTATCGTCCCTCTTCCTCTTTCTTTTCGCTCTCTCTCTCTCTCTCTCTCTCTCATTCTCTCTCGCTTTCTTTCTCTCCCCTCTTTTTCTTTTATCTCTCTTTCTCTCTTATCCACGTTAGACACTCGTCGAACGCTACAGACTTTTCTGCCCTCTCAACGGTATATCGCGCTCTTTCCCAAAATCTTTCTAGCAAGACAAAAAGGGAAAGACGGTCTTTGACTATGTAGCCGATGACCTGGATCGAAGCGACGAATGAACGGCAGGTGCGTCTACCGCAAACCCCGCCACGTATTCTTGAATCTCTTCTTCCTCCTCTCTTACGACGCTAATGAGGAAGAGAACTTAAATGTCTGATTTATCTTCCTATCTATCCGTCCGATGATCCTATCGAAAAAGGATACGTGATATAGACGTGATCATTGGATCAATTCCATATAATCCATTGGTTATATTTATATGAAATTCCTGTTTCTTCTATTTATACAAAAATTAATTTTATCAAATTATATTTTTCTCTTTGATATTGTAAGATATCAATCCTCGAATATGATATTTTTTATCCTTTATCAATTTAGATTTAATCCAGATAATACTGTTCCCGCCTAATCGCATGCGTACTCGAAGAAACGACCTCGTGGATCACACCCCTGTGACGAGGATAACATGTGTGTAGTGTCCGCGTGGTGCGTTAGTATCCTAAATCGTTTCATGGTTAACCGTGGCAAAGGAAATGTGTAGGAGGGAGGAAGAGACAGAAAGAGAGAAAGATAGAGAGACAGACAGAGAAAGAGAGAGAGAAAGAGAGAAAGAGAGAAAGAGGGAGAGAGAGAGAGAGAGAGAGAGAGAGAATAAGAGAGATAGAGAAACAGAGATAGAAAGATAGAGTGGTAAATAGGGAAAGAGAGACGGCAATACGTCATGCCGGTATTGTGCAGTCTAAATCTCGGTATGTACTTTTATGGGCAGTAAAGTAAAACGGTCTGACAACAACTCTGACTGCACACACGCTTTTCGTCCGAGCGGCCGTCCATCCATCCACCCATCCGTCCGTACGTACGTCCGTCCATCCGTCCGTCCGTCCGTCCGTCCGTCCGTCCGTTCGTCCATTCGTTCATCCATCCATCCATCCACTCGTTCATCCATCCGTCCATCCATTTATTCATCCATCCATTTATCCATCCATCCATTCATCCCGCGCCGCCACCCCTCCCCTCACCAGATAGCACTATACGCGAGAACGACACGGTGAATCGAATCGCCGAGATCGATTATTCTTGAAATCCTCTTTAAAGCTTCCTCGTTAATAATTATTAAACGATAATTCCTTTCCTTAATCTTTGTCTTGTCGGTGATTTTTTTTCTTTTTCTTTTTCTTTTTCTTTTCTTTTTTTCTTTTTTTTTCTTTTTTATTATTCTCACGATTATTCATTACAATCGTTATCAAAGTCGATAACTTATAATTCAGCATAGAGATTTACGATAAAAACGTGTAGAGAGAGGGAGTAAGTCGTATACTGACTTACATTTCTCGTCTAATTCTCCCCCCCCCCCTCCCCCCTTCCACCACCCCTTCTTCTCACATTCTCCTCTTTTTCGTCACCCTATTTACGTCTCCAGACGTAAAAACTTTGAAAAACAATGCGAATGAGAAAAATCTCTCACGGGAAATCGTGTATACTTATTTACACACACCAACGTGCCAACTCGTCGTAGGAAAGACACTTTACGAATAGCAACGTGATAAATCCCGTACGAGCGGGTGACGCGAACCGGCCGACGTTTGTTGTACGCGATCATGAATGGACTTTATAGCATTACGCCCATTTATAGGTTATATCCGCGGTTTAGTAACTATGCTCTTTAATACGACGACTTTAGTATACCTACGTACAATCTTCGTCTATTTACTGCGAATAATTTTATTTGAGAATGATAAACGATTGAGGTGTGATACTACGAAATACTTTTAGATAGATCACATTGTAACATTGGGATGAATATTTTTAAGGATGGATGAATAATTTCTCTTCTTGTTTTACGAAGATTTTACGTATATTCTCTTTTTTTTTTTTTGTATTTGTTTTCTCCTTTTCTTTTTTTTTTTTTGCTTTGTTTTTCTTCTCTCAAATATTTTACAGCTGCACGATCAACGATTGCCAAGGTAACATTCATCATTGTAATATTTTCTCGATATATTTAAAAAGTGTCAAGTATAATGAATAATAAAGGGTTGGAAGTATTCGTTGAATTTTTTCATTCGAATATATATATATATTTTATATCGTATATCAGATATTTTGAATTTGGGTATTATGTTAAACGATTCATGTTTCTCCATTTGAAACTTTTATTTTGTATTTATCGTAAGAAACGTTTGTATAATATTAAATTATTGGAATAATTCCAACCCTTATAATGAACGGGAATATTGAAAAGATATTTGTCTCGTTAAATAATAATTATAAATAATATAATTAGAATCTCACCTTGTATACCGGCCAGTGTTCCGGGCTGGTACACGCGGGAAAACCTAAAATAATAAAAAAACGTATGTTTGATTCATTCAATATTTTTCAATTGAATAAACAGATAAGTAAGTACATGAATGAACTTGAAATATTTTTGTTTTCTTTGAATTATTTCCATCTAACATAATGAGAGTTACTTAAGCCAATCGAATCAAATTTTATGATGGATGACGAAAGACGAAAGTTATCTCATTTAACGTCGATAAAACTTAAAGATTTCAAAATAAAATTAAATAATGATTATTTTCTCAATTAATTCCTTTTCGAAAATATATATATATATATATATCTATCGATAGTATCTACATACATGAAAAAGTAATTTCTCTGATTCACGATTTTATGGGAAGACATATGCGTAAAAGAACTTTTTATTATATCACAACTACCAAGAGAAAAATGGAATTACATAGAAAAGTGTATTTGGATTTTATGTTTTCTTTTTCTCTCTTTTTTTTTCTATTTTTTTTTTCTTAAATAATGAATTACTTTATACGATATTCCATCCTTTTTCAAAACGATCACACTTTTTATCCATTGAGCTAAATCCTAATATATTTTTTATATAGACGGAAAAATATATGACAAATAAATATTATTAACCTGCACAGCTCGAACGGGTGAAACGGCGTTTCCACGGCGCCGAACACTTTGAGGCCTTTTATCTACAGGTTTAAGAAGAAAAACTTCAGCCTGGAACAGAGAAACAATAAAATATATAATATATATATATATATATATATATATATATATATAATATATATAGTATATATAGATATATATAGGTGTATATCTATAATAAATCTACCACGTCTTTTCCCAAGACTTTGCACGATTTTTTTTTTTCAAAGGTCCCTCGTAACGGATAAAGCTCGCACTCTTGCGAGCTTTTATACGAGCTTTAGTAGCTTATATCGCACCAGGTATAAAGTTCCATAGCTTGTACATCGCTTAATGGGAATACAGTCTATAACTACTCGCTCAATGCACTTTCAACGTTGAAAAACTTACTCTTAAAAAGTACTTACAAATTCGCTAAGTACCTATTATGTATAATATCGAACTTTATATAGTATGGTACTTACATATATAATATATATATATATATTAAATATATATCAAAATTTGTTTCTCGATATAAAATCGATTAATTATTATTATATTATAATACTTTCTTTCCCTTTTTTTTCTGTTTATCTACATACTTGATTTATACAAATAAAATCCTTTTCGCGAATTTTCGAAATAGGAATAGATAAGATGACTACATCATACAAATAGAGAGGTAAGGAATATCTAATCCAATTCGAAAAACGAATTTCGTTTTCTCCGCAAAACTCAAAGTTGAAATCGAATAGGTATGCTTTCTCCCGAAGTTTTGCCTCCCGTCGCCGTCGATTCTCCTCCGGTGGTAAGTTTATGGCGTAGCTACGCGAGGGTTCGAGATGAAAGGAGATGGAAATGGCGGGAACAAGGTACGGGTATAAGAAAGGTAGATGAAGAAAGTTATGCGGAAGATGGAACGGAGGCTACGTTCATTCACGGTGTTGAAAACTGAAAACCGCTTTACGACGTCCCACGAAAAATGTTATGCGTCTTTCTCTCTTTCTCTTTCTCTCTACCTACCTCTCTCTCTCTCTCTCTCTTTCTTTTTTTCTCTCTCTTCCTACCTTTCTCTATCTCTATCTTTCTCCGATCTATGTGATATATAAGACTTTACATTGTTACTGTCTTATTTATTTATTTATTTTTTTTTATTTTTTTTTATTTTTTTTTATTTTTTTTTATTTTTTTTTTTGTAAGAGATATATCTTATGAAATATCTTCAATTAAATATAAATTAATCAATTATAGAATAGGAAAATATATAAATATATAAGTATATAAATATAGGAAACTATTTCTTGAAATATGTCAATATATTATTAATATTTAATTGAATATAAATTAATCAATTACAGTATAGGAAAATATATAAATATATAAATATATAAATATATAAATATAAGAAATTATTTCTTGAAATATTTCAATATATTATTAATATATCCAAGTATATAAAATATATAAAGTATATTTTATATACTTGAATACATCAAGCATAACTAAAAATATATGATAATTATTTTGTTTTTTTTTTTTTTTTTTTTTTTTAAATCGTTTTAATCAATTGATTAATAATCAACCATGAGATTTATTTCGTAATGAGAAAAAAAAGAAAATAATCTCCAGTCGATAATTCAATTCGATTAATTTTATAGACATTTTTCCGTTTAGAAGATGAAAAAAATTCTAATTACTTATCATAATCTATCCATGACCAGTCATTTTCTTTCAATCAATCTGCAGGTACGTCCTTTTTCATCATTAATATGTATCGTCGAAAGAAAATATTCCTGATATTTCACAAATTAAAAGACGGAACTTAAGAGGGCTGAATAAGCGT